TGCCCCAACTTTCTGCATTGGCGAGGGCCATTATATATTGTGGTACGCCGGCCGTGAGGCGGCGGCTTGTGGAGAGGGTGCCCTCGACTCGATATCGAAAAGAGCGATTCAACAAAAAGGCCTGGATGGTGTGTACGAGCCTATCTGGCACTTTGAGTGTGTACAGCTTGTAAAGCAAGCCGTTGTGCCAGACCTTGTGCCAAGCCGTTGTCGAATGCCTTTGCGACATCGAAGAAAAGAGCCCCTGTACTGATATGTTTCGGGTGGTTCAGGCCTTTTAGGATGTGCTCCGTTAGGCGGTATAACTGGTCGGGACAAGAGTGTCTAGCTCGAAAGCCAAATTGTTCCGTGGGCAGAAGGCCGTTGGAAAATACGTGCTCTTTGAGCCTGTTTAATAAGAGCCGCTCGTAGAGCTTCCCCAGGCAACTGAGGAGGCTGATGGGACGATAACTAGAGGGCTGATGGGCTGGTTTATTCGGCTTGCGAATGCCGATAACCGTGGCTTGCTTCCAGTCGTCCGGGAAGGAGCAACTGGAGAGTAGAGTGTTGAAAATGGTCGCCAGTAAACAGATAAGCGGCCCAGGGACAGCTTTTAGAATTTTATTACTGATATTATCTGGGCCCGGGGCGGATTTCGGTTTTAAATTTTTAATAATATCTTGGACCTCTTCGGGGGCCACTGAACTTAAAGGATCTCCTTCCGGTGGAAGCGCAGCCCTAGTCTCGATTACGCGGTCCACCTCCGTTAGGTGGACTGTATCGATGTGTTCGCGCGATGGCGTACATTGCTGCTCTAGGTTGTCCGCAAGGCATTCGGCTTTTTCGGAGTCATCTAGGGCTACTGAAGCGCTATTAGGTCTAACTAACGGCGGTAGAGATTCGCGGGGGTCTGCTTTCAGACTGCGGGCCAACCGCCAGTAGGCGGTGTGCGATGGCTCGATGTCCTCTAGGAGAGTGTCCCACGTTGTGTGTCGGTGTTTACACGATCTTTGACTTCTAGCTGAAGGCGTCGAAATAGGGTTCGGTTCGATTCCGATCGGTATCGGTCGAAGGCGCGTTTGGCTGCATTTTTCTGTCTAATTAGCAGTCTTAGGTCGGGCGGAAAGTTAAACCGACAGTTTGACCGTCCGTTCCGAATCTGTGACTGCGGAAGTAATAGTTTCTCGGAGACTCGCTATCGCTCGATTTGCGTCATCGAACGTAGCTATCGTCTCGGGTAGGTCTACTAAGTCCTGGGGGTCCAAGGCCTTGAGTTTTGACCTCAAGACGATGCCAGTCCACTACGGATTTGGTCGGAGGGACCGCGCCGGCGTTCTGGCCCAGTTTACACAGGACGGGCCTGTGGTCTGAGTCTAGTTCATGGATTGTCTCTATCGACTCGATGTCGAGCGAGACCTCCCTGAATAACATGATGTCTAGGACACTCGGTGACGCGTGTTGGTAGTTGTCCACCGTAGGATACCTAGTGGGAGTCGCGGGAGCGACTATGCTAAAGTTTAAATTATCGGATAAGCTAATGAGATGCTTTCCGTTGTTATTTGGGATGCTGTGGATGTCCCCTGAACCGTGTTTGCAGTTTAGATCTCCTGCAATTATCACGGAAGGGCCTAAGTTGAGTAGCGTAACTAGGTCGCTTTGTAATAAGGTTTTGTTCCCCGAGAGGTAGGCTGAGACTAGTACAAGCGGCCTGTGGCCGGTGAGCGCTAACCTACACGCGGATGCCTCTATTTGACTTAGCTCTGGAATGTCGAGCGGGCAACAGTACAAGGACCGTTTATAGTAAATTAATGTGCCTCCCAGACGGTTTGTTAACCGGTCATGGCGGACAATGTTGTAATTTGCGATTCTGGGATCGCGTACACTAGGTTTTAAGAATGTCTCTTGCACTAGAAAAATATCTACGTTATAATCGCGAAGGAATTCTGCGATTTCATCCCTTTGACCCTTTATACCGTTTGCGTTGAAATACGAAACAACCAGAGCCCGAGGTTTTGTTCTACCTGCGGTTGTACTTCCCATTAAAGTTTTTATGGTTCTAATTAACGACGCGGCGGAGCGCGGTTTTATTGCGCGGACTATTATGTCTTTTTATGGTTGGCTCGTAAAAGCCCATAGGGCTTCTACAAGCGTTTTGTGTTGGCTGATTGCTCTAAGGCGCTCGTTGCCAGATGTGGCGGTCGCTATTTTAGCGGACAATACGGCGAGTTCCTGCCTATTGATTCGTTCTAATAGGCTGCAGATGTTGGCGATTTGCGCGAACGGGTCGTCCTTGTTTTCGGCGAAATCCGATGAAGTTGGCTGCACCTGCGGCCGCGGCGCCGTTTGACAGGCGGGCAGCGATTGTGCAATCGGTCGTGAAGCGACCGGGGGCGTGATTACCTGCGCGGCCACTTGGGGTTTCGCCCAGGCGTTTGTGACGGGTACGGGCGCGGGAACGTATTTTACGGGCGCGGGTTTGGGCAACGTAGATTTCGCGGGAGATTTTCTCGCGGGAGTTTTCGGGGCCTTAGCGCAGCCTCTATAACTAGCCGGATGGCCGGTAGCGTGACAGTTTACGCAGTCCGGTGGATCTGCGCAATCTTTTGGCCTCGTGCACTCGGTTGTGCCGTGGTCACCGGTGCATTTGACGCACCTAGGGTGAGCGAAGCAATTATTAGCCGTGTGGCCAAAATGTTGACAGTTGTGGAACTGTGCCACAACACCTGATTTTCGTGGGGGCTCGATGACTAAGTCACTGAGCCCACAGACCCTCTTTAGGTTGAAAATGGCCTTACCTTCCGGGGTAGGGTCAAGTTCCACCATGACCATGTCCATAGGGAGACGGGTGCGAGGGTGCCTGAGGCGACGCACGGCGTGAACAGGGTATCCCTGAGTGCGGATGTCGACCTTAGCCCTATCGACATCCGACTCTTTTGGGACTCCCTTGATTACGACCCGAAGTTTACGCTCTTCGGGTAGTGAGTAGGTGTGGAAACCTACCTTAGCTTCGCGCAAGTACTTTGTTACGCGGCGGAAATCGTCCGTAGAATCGATTTATACGCGGATACCCATATGCGTATTTTTGGACCGGGGGTCTCGTATGTTATGGCGTTCGAACCATGAACATATTTGGTGCCACTTTGCCTTTTCTTGTATGATAATTGGCGGCGGTGGCTTGATTTTTCGCTCGGAGGCGAATGTCGGTTCCGACTGGGCAGTCGCGGCTGCCTTTTTGGCAGGCGTCGCGGTGGGACGGATCGTTGAGGCGGCCTCGCATTCGGGGTCGCTGTCGATAGCGGGGCGTTTCTTGCCCTTTTTACGCGATTTAACGACGGTGAAGCCGTCGGCGTTCGCATTTTCAGCGGGGGTCGTTTCGACCTCCATGTCCGATCCGCCGTCCGATTGTGAGTCGGGTACGACGGAGCGGAAAGAGGTCGGGTTTGGTTGCACGGAAGGCGCTACGGGCGAGTTCGCGTTAGCGGATGCCGAAGCGGCGGGGGCTTCTAAGGTCGCGGAGGGCGACGGGGTAACGGGCGCAGACGACGTGGGCAATTGCGGCGATGCGAGTTCAGCTACTTGCCTATGCTCGGCTGCATAGGCAAGATAACGTTCCCACATAGCGGGGCATTCTCTGCGAACGAACTCCTCGAAAAGGGAGCCCATCGCGACGTAAGCACCTTTGGGGCTTGTAGCCCCGCCGGCGTGTGTGAGCTAAATAAGCCTCCCCACCTTGCGGCAGGGAGGAGTGTGCCTAAAAATAACAACTAATTTGCCTGCGCTTAAGGTGCGCTAGGGTGGGTACCTAGCTGTCGCCTATTGCAACAAGCACACAGTTAATAAATGAAACAATGCCGCCTCTGAGGCGAGAAGTGTGTGTAGGATTCTACTTACAAAACAGGAACCTGCCTACGAGCACAACACTACACTAACACTAAACTACTGCACTATTTGCACAAGATATAAATTGCAACCGAGGTTGCGAGTGGCGTCTAATTCGGGTGGCATGTGCCCTCCGTCTTAGAGAGACGTCCGTTCCGTACGAGAGCACGAAGCGGAATCACCACCCTGGTCATAATCAAAATCGATTGCCAAAAACAGTGGACATTTTATATTAATCGCTACAAAATGCCCATAGTAGTTACTGCGTTTCCGTTTGCCGATTTTTTATTCGATTTTTTGCTTGGGTTGCTAGTAAGACAATAAATGTACAAATGAAAATATTTAGCATCCCATTATATTTTCTAATGGAAAAAATCACAATAATGTATGTTATAACCTATGGGCCCAAAAATGTCTAAGATAATTAGCACTTCGCCTCACTATTATACAAAAACAATTCCCATAACGTAGTGCATTTTATCACTATGGAACATTACGTGAATAGTAAGGGAACTTCATAGGCAAGCACAATTCAAAAGTTAAATAAATGGTTGGTCGGAGTCTACGGAATAATGATAAAGTCGTTAATATACGAATAAAGAAACACAAATTTAAAACAAATAGCAATATTTATAGCACTAAGCATTGCATTTAAAATAATGACTATTTTTAAGTTTATAAAAGTTTTTTAGGCCACATTTTGATTTGTTCGATGACGAAGAGTTTCTTAACTAGATCATAGACTAGATAGAAGTTCATGTCGCGTCTCCTTGATGTCTTATAAAGGGAAAGTACAGCTACCCTTGTTATTTTTTTTAAGTGAGTAAGTGGCAAACGAGCTGGCGGTTCACCTGATGTTGAGTGATAACCGCCGCCCATAGACATTTGCAACACTCGTAGGGTTGCAAATGCGTTGCCACCTTTAAATAAAGTCGGCCCCGGCTACCTCACTCACCAGACGAATCGCAGAAGTGTAACACTTTTACTTTACGCCAGTCTTCCTTCCGTGAGGTCGTGGTACTTACCCGGACGGACCTGCCCATTTGTGCAACAGTGTTGAGTGGCCCCACCACCATAAAATGTCATCTAGTCAGCCAGATTTATGTCTGTTTCTTAAGGGGTGCCTAAAATTGACTACTCACCAGTGCGGCGGGCATGATGGTGGGGGCCCAAACGGAGGCGAGGTTCTCAGCGTTCATCTTGTTGGCGTGCGCCATGCTCTGCAGAAAGTGCAGGTGCGCGAACAGTTTACGTGCAGTGTTGCGTGCCACGACGCCTAAAGAGTTTAGCGTGCGTCGATATTCCGCGTAGCGGGCCGCCTCGTCTTCTAACTCTACACGTGAAAAAAGGGTATAAGAAATGTGCTTATACAGCGTGTCGTTACCAACGCGACAATAAATGAACACACATATGGAGGATAACTTTTTAAAATTGTATCAAAAATTTACATTCTTAAAACATCAATATTTACAGAGTTATTAAATTTTGCAAAACAAACAATTTTAGAACATCCTTACGTATAAAACTGTAATGTAAAGTTCATTTGTAAAGGTCACAAAGCATATGAATGGGTTGAAAGATTTTAAAAGAGACAAAACATACTGTTAGAAGGAGAGGCTTGTAATGCGACGCTGTGGCAACGAATGAAAAAGTCTCTGAATGTATGAATCAGTCAGTTGTAGTTGTATAGGATGCTACAAATTTTGTATCCTTTTCACTTAATTAGTTTGTTTGAAAAAAAAAATATTTTAAATATGATTTTTTAACGTTTATATTATTTTATGATTATTGGCAAGTAGCGTTAGACGTGTGTGTTCATTTATTGTCGCGATGGTAAAGACACTGTATAAACCAAACAGGGAGAAAACAGATAAGCCTATATATAATATAATAACTATATAAGGTAAACAGAATAATAAGTCATGATTATTTACATAGTATACAATATATATATATATATATACGATGTTCTAAGTACTTTCATACTTAGTCATTGAATATAAAACAAGAGTAATGAAAATTAGACCATTTGAAGGGTAACGGTGCGTTAAATAATAAATTAGGTTTTTTTTATAATTGAAGTAGTTGCCAATATTTTACAAAACGAATGCACTGTTATTCACATTACAGGCTGTAAACTCCAAATCCGAGTCTATCTGTTTGGCTCCTCTCCACTGTAAAATAACTTTATATGCTTTGTTTACAAACATAAAAAGAGCCGTGATAGCTCAGTGTCCGGGCGCTCGCCTTTAATTCAATATACTCGAGCAACCTGAGTTCGATCCGAGGTGCCGGCACCAATGAAGTTTTTAACTTTAAGTGCTGACTTATCACGTGCTCCGCGGTGAAGGAAAACATCGTGAGGAAACCTGCATATTTTAGAAATAATTAAAAAAATATATATTTCGAAAATATGTGAAGTCCGCCAATCCGCAGTGGGGCCGCGTGGTGGACTATGCCCTGATACCCTCTGTATAGAGGAGGCCTTTGCCCAGCAGTGGGACATATATAGGCTGTTACTTTACTTTACTTTTTACAAACATAATTGGTTGAGGTTTCTAGTGATGAATTAGCGTGTTTTGTTAGGCGATACACTTACACGAATTTCACTGCGTCGCATTCAAATTGTCGCAACCGTAAGCGTGTTCAATCTGTTTGTCTTTTTTGTTTGTCTACACATTCAAACAATAATAATCATAATTTAATTTGATTTTGGTGCTGTTTACTTTAAGCCACATTTTAATTTTTTTTCCTATTTCATTATTAATAGTTTTAATTTATGCCATTTTTATGATGTTTAACTGTACTTATCTTTAAGTTATTGTTACACTTACAAGTGTACTCATTGTTTCTTTTCTTTTCTATTATCAAAATATAGTGTGAGCAGTTGTCGATGGGCCTTATTGAAATGAAACAAAAGATAAATACCGAGGGCGGTCGTGAGTGCTGCGTGGCGGTCTTGCGGTATTAGCGAGTCTGGCAGGTCGCGGAAGAAACGCTTCAGAACGCCGGCTACGTCGTGCTCCGAGTGCTGTCCGGGGATCAGTTGCACGGACCAGGCGTCGCGCCGGAACCGCGCAAGCAGCTCGGCCAGCACCACGCTGCTGCCGGCACGCCGATAGATGCCCTCGGACAGGCTGCCTGCGACGAGAGGGCACCTTGTACAGCGGACACGCGGACGTAGGGCAGATAAATGACGCACAGACTGTGGCGCGTAGATAATAATAATAATAATATTTATTACGTTAAATATTTGTTAACATTTATCAAATTCAGTGTTAAGAAGTCAGCTAGTAAGCAAAAAATGCCTGTAGATGTAAGGGGGACCGACACACATCGGAGTACAGTTGAAAATGTGTCCATTCGTACGCGTTAAACAACAGTCCATAGACTCTCCACAACAGCCCTAGAGTAGCTGGAGAGTATGAAGTAAACTTAACAGCCTTTATTTTATTCAATGTATTTTTTGCGATTTTTTATGAATTTTATAATTCGTTAAACATTGTCTCGTATTGAACATAAATGCAAACACAAAGTGTCTCAGACCCACTGTATGTATAAATATTTCATTGTGCTTAAAATGCTGCTTCTTTCCTTGTTTATGTCTCTACCCCACTCTCATATTTTTCTCTGACAATTTTTAATACACAGTATAGGTTCTGCTTTCCTCTACACTCAATAACACAGATGTTAAATACAACGGTTGGTACTACCCGATTTTGACACAGATAATATGCATATGTGTCATAATAGTACATGTACATTTTCAACACAATGGAAGTGAAAAATAACATGTTTACCGTTTCGATGTGTGTACAATAAAATTAAAGATAAAATCGATGAATCAAAATGTAACAGATGTTATGGAATAGCTCAATGTAATAAAAGTTTAACTATTAAATTAGCCAAGCTACTTATGTAGCTCCAATTTCGCTTACTCCAATGTCGGCTGTAAGTGAACTAAACGGAAGTTGACGTTCTAAAGTGAATTCGTACAAAAGCATAATATCAATGACTAAAATACAATCGTTGGAGCGGATAGAGGCGACCAAGTACGAAGGCCGCCCGGTTCTTGACCCGAGTCACATGCTGGCTGAATCTAAGTTTTGAGTCAAGGACGACACCTAGGTAATAGGCGTTTCTGGAAACGCCTTCACATTGATTGATGTCGCCAATGATAGAAAAGTTCAACGTAGGTGACTCTAATTCTATATTTGATATCGTCACAAATGATGAAAGCTGGATATACTGCGACGAACTCGAAACCAAAAGACAATGCGCTCAGTGAGTATTTCCTTTTAAGGGTTGGCAAACGTAAGCATAGAAAGGTACTGTGGCCCTAGGCCACGCAACAGTCTTGGCTGTTGTACGAATAGGCAGGTTCGTGCCACGAACACACAGAAGACCGGCGTGACATGGAAGTGTTATACTTCTGTGTTTTTTCTGGTAATTAAAATGGCCGGAGCCCACTTTATTAAAAGATGGCAACGCATCTGCAATACTACGGATGTTTCAAACGTGAATTGGTGGCGGTTACCACTTAACATCAAGTGAACAGCCAGCTCGCTTGCCAACTTCTCACAAAAAACATAAATTAAATGAAAAATAAATATTTTTTAAAGAACTTCCAGTGTCCCCCGTACCGGTGATGGGACGTGGGTTCATCATTTTGATCCTGAGAGCAAGCAAGAGTCCATGCAGTGGCATAAAAAAGGAACCAAAGGAGTTTAAAGTCACCTAAAAACGCAGAGGAAAATGGCCACAGTGTTTTGGAATTGAAAAGGAATCTTACTAATTCAGTACACTGAAAAAAATTAATGTATTACGGCCGCGTCTTACGTTAACACCCTACTTAATTTAAAGGAGGCAATAAAAAAAAACGTGGTAAAATTTATCGCAGGTATCTTTCTTCCTCATGACAACGTGTGGGTTCACAAAGGGCGCGTTGCCAAGGCTGTTGAGCGGGATTGCGGATTTAAAGAAATCAATCATCCACCCTACACAGCCCGGACCTAACCCCTAGTGATTATTTTCTGTTTCCCCAACCTCAAGAAATATCTTCGAATAAGCATTTTTCCAACGGTGAAGAGTCGAAGGCGGCAATGGATGTAATAAATTTTTTCAGACAAGGAAAAAAGATATTTTTAGATGGAGGACTATAATAAAGAATAAATTGTAATTATATTCACAATTTTCTGCCTATTCTTTCATACCTACACCGAGAACATATTGAAAGCCCTGCCTCTTAAGAGCTGAAGCAAAACGAGTATAACGAACTAAATTAGATCGAGTAATGTAATTAAGATCGTGTAATGTCGCCACGTGGTTGTGTCTTATCTTCGTCCATGGTTCTCGCAAAAGGTATCAAATACAGATATACATATATTGTTAAAAGAGAAATAAAATTAATTATGAAAAAATTTAAACAAAATAATTAAAAAATATATAAATAGAATATAAAAAAAATATAAATATAAATAGATATAAAATATTTCCGAGACATTCCTACACAACTTTATCTAGTCCCAAACTAAATAATTTTGTCGGTGTGGCATTCAGAGGTTTAACTTAGTGGCTAATATCGTCAGGCCGCGAATGCCGAAAACGTAGGTTCGATTTCTGCAACGGCAACAAACTTTTCATACTTTTTCTAAAAAAATATTTTAATGTTTAATCTCAAGTGTAGGCATTGGCACTATAAACATTTAAATTTATGATCCCAAACTAAGCAAAGCTTGTACTATGGATACTAGGTAACTGATAAACATACTTAAACGTAATTTTCTCTTGTAAATAAATACATATTATAGATATATAAACACCCAGACACTAGAAGAATACTGTTTACGAATATGTTCTTCACAAAATATTTTTGTAGTAGTGGAATTCGAACCCACACCCTCTGGCGCAAAAGACATATTCACTATCCACTACGCCAATTGTCGCAATTTGTCAACTTATTTTTGGTTATTATATCGACAATTTAACTATTACAAACAAGTTTTACAAATTTTAAATTTCAAATTAAGTGTAACTAACTATCGCTAAAATTAAAAACGATATTTCAACAGGAAACGCCACATCACTCATTTTCAAATATTAATTGCAAGAAAGTGTTTTAGCTGCAAAGGAAACATCACATAACGCTGAGCATCGCTATCAATGCAATAAAAACAAAAGTTAGATAAGATGTCGAGATTTACGCGAGGTGTGCTTATCAACGCTAAGCTCAATGGATAGAGCGTTTGGACGCGTAATCCGGAATGCGCGCGCGGCGAAACCTGGCATCGGCGAAAAAATAATTTCCCGACAATTTTATCTACACCTTTTAAAAAGATGTACAATAGGAGGCGATTTCGCTGTTCAATTACAATCAATCACAAACATAGAGCATTATCCGTCATCCCCATCATCCCAAATATCTGTCATGATCCATCGCTGCAGATGTCCAGGCAAAGCTAAGGGATGTAGAACAAAGCGAGGCGTGAAACGAGATTAGGCCGAGTGAAATGGATAAATGTCGCCCTAATTTCGTTCCCACCCGCCTTGTCTTTCCACACGAAGAACTGCCAGATCTTCGTCCGCCGGCCTCGCAGATTTCAAGCTGACTGAGCAATTTACATTTACATTTTAATTAACAAAAATAAGTAACAGGATACTATCCTTTAAACGAGCAATTCTTGTATATATATTATCGGAAATAATTATAATCGGAATCTCAGAAACGACTCCAGCGATTTTCATGAAATTTTGTGCGTAGATTAGGGGGCGAAAAAACGATCTAGCTAGGTTTCATTTTTAGAAAATGTCCTTTTATCCCTGTTTTCAGGGAATGAAAAATATCATTCGAATATGACAGCAAATTGCCGCAAAAAAAAGGTTGTAATAGCTCGGTCGGTAATCGGGCGGCCCCAAAACAGACGGCCGCGGTTCGTATCACGATCATTTACACACTTATTTTTTTTACTTTTTTTTCTATAACAGATCATTTTCTTTATTTTTCAAAATACTTGATTTAATTTTAAAAAACCGAGCAAAGCTCGGTCCTCCAGGTACTAGACATTATACATAACATAGGAAAAGTACAAAAACAAAAGTAAATTAACAATCCTATACATATGCGTATAAGGTAATAGTCCACTACGCAACTCTACAGCCAATTGGCGGACTTCACATATCTTCGAAAACATATCTTCGAGCGCCTGGACGCTGAGCTGCGGACTCTTTCACAATTTTATCAAAATATTCACAAACAATTTTATAATTAGGAATAAAGATCAACTTTAGTTAATTTGGTAACTAATACTATTGTAAATTTTAAACTAGGCACTTACCATACGCGAAGATGAAACTGATACATTTGTCGACGATAGTTGGGATGTCTTCTTTTGTAAGTTGTTGATGATGGATGTGTGCGCCGTTGTTATGAGCAGCGAGTTTTATCATAAATCGCCAGCCCTACGAAGAAGATATAATAATCGTGACCCGTAATATAATAATAATTGATTGCCGAGGAAAGAGGGTTATGGGTAGTAGGGCACATTGATTTCCATTGTTGACGTTTATGTGCTTGACGAATTTAATCTTAACTATAAATATTTATTGAAACATGTAAAAAAGTTCACGGCGTGATATAGTTCGCAATAAGAACATTTGCAGTAGAACAAAGGTAACTGACATTGCTCAGAGATTTAGTAAGCTGAAGCGGCAAGGGACGAGCCATATAGCTCAAAGAACCGACAACCGATGGGGAAGAAAGGTTCTCGAGTGGCAGCCTGGTATTTGGCATCGTAATATAGGACGACCCCAAAGATGAGACGATCTGTGCAAGTGTGCGGGAAGTTGATGCATTCAGGTGGCTCAGAATCGTGCTTCGTCAGTCTGCGGAGGAGGCCTATATTCAGCAGTGGACTTAAACAGAATGAAATGATGATGTATAAATGATAATGTAAAAAATTGACAAATGTTCACGTAGTAAGCACCTTGCTCTGCAAAGATATGGAATGTCAAAAATTCTAGGACAGTACTGAACGGCTGACTACAAGTTAACACTGTATGTATGTATAGGTCTAAAAATACGGCAAAGTTTTTCAAGTACCTTTAATTCTCTCTCATGAGGAAAACGTAAGTAGAGAGTAGCAAGAGGACAACCCAACAACAGGTTACCACTGCCGTCAGAGGGGCAAGCGTGTTTGGTCTCATCATCCGCTGCCTGCATAACTGTTGACAAGAGCAATAGCTTATATTACGGATGTTATACATCAAAGTGTGTGTTTACTTACGTACACTCGTTAAAAGTTATACTTCTTTGGCATAAACAGATAAAAATCTTTTCAAAAATTTTAAATTTCGCCTTATTCTACATTTGTAGAAAAAACAACACTAACAATAGAAAGAAAGTATTTAAAACATTGAAAGTTTTATTATAACGCATTATATAGTTCAATAAAGTTTATTTAAATAGCACAAAATAAATATCACAAAAAAAAAATATAATGAATACAGTTGTCAGTTCTCACGTCAGGGTGTCGGTTTTTCGTAACGGTGTGCGCACGTATCGTAAAAATTTACTCTCATCATTTTTCCCTAAAGCGCCAAAAGAAGTATAACTTCAATAAATATGTTATATGCATACAAAAAGTTCGTTATGAACTCATTATAATTTTGAACGAGCAAGGCATACTTCGTTTTACTAGGACGCGGATCTAACGATTTGTATCACAAATTGCGTTCAAATAAATTTTTACTTTTAGAGGTTATTGATATGCGTTTTTCCGCAATAACATTTTTCAATATTATTTTTCCAATATACCGCCAGCCGGTAAATTGTTGAGGTACTTGAATGTTTCTATTGGATGCTAGGCTATCGGATAAAATGAATGACATTACCGGAAACCATGATTCTAAAGCTCGATCGCCCAAGTAAAGTATTGCGAGTTGACTTAGCCGTAGCGTATGTACTTTGGGAAACTGTATAGTTTTTAGACGTGGTTAACCGAATTTTAAATAACACAAGCTGCGTTGCCGCGCTAAAATATTTCCTTGGGCGTTGAATGCGCAAACACGTACCTATTGCGCATGGTATCGAGCGAGCAACGGCTTCGGCCATATTGTGTCGGCCATTTTTATACACAGTTAATGTGAACAAAGACTAAGAAATGCCAAAATTCTAATACATGCCATAAAAAGTGATAAAAATATATGATAATGCACAGCGATTATTTGAACAAATCAATTTATTTGACTACACTCATTAAAAAAATACTGCACTAAACACGTTGACGCGAAAACGAGCAATTCGTATCAATAGAAATGGCGCAGCGAAGATATTCATTGATGATATTTATAAAACACACGCACGTGATAGGCAATTGGCTACAAAGTAAGCAATCATGAAGTGCGCACAGCTGAAAGGAACAGGTCGTATTGTTACGTTTTGCACTAAGTGGATAACTTTAGCGGTTGTTGAACATCTAGTTACTGAAATACTAAAATTTTAAAATGATGATAGATAAGGTTTTTTTGTTAACTTTTGATGTTTGTTGAATCGTGCAAAGGATATTATAATCAATTTTACACAGTTATTATGTTGTTTATATTGTACGGTTGTTTATATTAACATGTTAAATGTACGTACCTTGTAAAGCGCCCTGAATTGCTCATTACAGGAAAATATACGGCGATGCGCGACAAAATAACGAATATATTAAATGAATGATAACTGGGCTAAGAATCACTCGGCGCATGAGCGTCAGTGTTGACGCCGACAATAAGGATCTATAGAAAAGGACGGAGCAGAGCGACAGTTGTTAGGGGTAAAGAGAAGAAGAGGGAGGTGAGGGGTGAGAGGGGGAAGGGGGGGGGGGAGGAGAGGGGAGAGTGAACAAACTTAAGCAGTTTCGATAAGAATTTATGAACTACCGAAACAAATACTGCAAGAAACCATAAGATGCCTGAAGTTAAAATGAAACCATTTATCATGGAAAAGACAGAAACTAATTTTCAAACACACTACAAGCCAAGTAGAGAAAATCTCGAAGCGGAAAGTCTTTTCCAAATTAAAGAACCACTTCTGTTTAAGAATATGTTGTATGATAATATACAAAAGCATGATGGCGTGGAAGTTACGGGTAGGTTATGATACAAATTTTATTAGAACCACCGAAACGCGTTTAGTTTTAGTCGAAACCGCGACGCGGCTCGTCTAGGGTGCGACAGTGAATATTGATCGAAACAAGTTATCGCCCCGCGTCTAGACGCCCGTGTGAGTTCGAAATGAAAGGCAGAGATTCCAGGAGGCTCCCTAGGGCAGAGCGGGAAGATGCGCGCGGCGGCCACCCCAACCCCTGGGCCCCTATGTAATGCAACTGCACCCCCTCCCTCCATAAGTCGAAAATCAATACAGCTAGCAGAGCGTAATGGAGCCGGTAACGCCCATATGTAATTATTGGGGCAGCTTTGATGCGTCTCAGTATTTTTACGCTTAATATTACATTTTTTTACTTACAGTGGAGTACAATGCGTTAAAAGTATCTGTGTATGAAACAATAAAAATATCAATGGCAATGGAATAAGAGACATACATAAGAGTTCAGAGACTGAATAACAATTTTACTTTACTAATTTTATTAACTATTCTCTATCAATTACAGTTCGCGACAACTTAAGTAGTTCGTCATCACTTCACTTGTGTAATGTTCTTTACAAACAGAAAAGCTTTAGTGCGATATAGTATGTAAGCCCTAACATCCAGGTCACAGAAGGGCGTTTTAAGTAAATCGTTCGCTAATTTTCCTACACATAATTTTTTTTGATATCCCCAATTGTGACTTATAAAAAGGTACCTTTCTTTAATTTAAATATTTTTATATTAATATCACAGATGAAAGTATTTTTAATGAAACGTAAGTAAACTAGGTATTATTTGTTTTATGAAAATGACGGAATCTTCATGCTTTACTCACCTACGATCTTGGTCTAGGGTATACTCTGCACTATCCATGCTATCTGAATAAATATGCGTATTTCTTTTTAACTATGTAATTATTTCTCAAATGCATAGATTGAACACAAATTACAAACCTTCAAAATATTAATAATAACTATTTTTAAATGACGCCTGTGAATATAAAATTACGATTGGCTTGAATCGGAGTGATAAACTGAATGTATTTAGCATGAAAGTAATGTCAAAACTTTACTGATGCTATTCATAAAAGTCGTATGTTGAAGTAAAATGTATGTTGGAGAGAGGGGACAATAGGTATAATTCTCTATTTTTCTCCATGTACTAAGAAAGGATGAACTTATGGGCCCTACGTATTTTATAGAAACCATAGGATTCTTACAAAAAAGTATTACTGCGAGAGCTATGCTCGGAGTTTCTTTGCGCGACAAAATCCGGAAGAGAAAATTCGGAAAGAGAAACGAGAAAATTCGCCGAAGATTCGGAGGCACCAACATAGCCCTCCGGATCTGCAAGTTGAAGTGGCAGTGGGCAGACCACATCGCTCGAGCTATTTATATGTACAAGAACTGATGACCAATGGGGAGTAAAGGTTCTCGAGAGGCGACATAGAACCGGAAGACGTAGCGTTGTAAGGCCTCCTCTAGGTGGACCGACGACATCATAAGTATCGCGTCGTATTATTTCTATATTATGGATGACAAGGAAAACGCTGCTATAGTTGGCGAGTATTTTCATTGTGTTGTAAAATAGCACAGAATTCAAACAAACACTGCAAAAAGAAATGGTTTACGTTGGTTCAATTTTGAAGTTACTCGTATAGTTCTCTTGGCGTGTTTGGAAAAAAAATATGAGAGTACAATTTTTAACATGCGCGCACACACCGATATCCAAAAAGGATCATGATGAAGTAGGTTAAGGTAAGTGAAGTAGGTAGGTAGTTAGGAACAAAGCGACCAACTGCGACAAACTTCGCGGGTTTACCATGACACCCAATAATAACTTTTTAACATTTACATATGATTCTAAGTTATTTATAATTAAATAAATGAAAAAGAGATAAAAGATTAAAATGCAATTGATAGCCGTTTGAGAGCCCGGTGCACCCCACAGCTGGCGAGACCAGACCCGCTTCACCCCTTCCCTACCCTACTCTCCCTACGCTTACTCTAACATACAGAACTTGAGTAATCACTTATGATTCAATAAACTAAACCACCTACTCGCTTTCAATTATCACCCGTAAAAAATATAGTAGTCCTAATTATATTGTAAACTATTATAATACAGTTTATCGTGTTTAAAATAATGTTGGCATTTTCATAATCATTTTCACAAATTGAAAACATCTTGCAAAACTGACGCTTTAGGTCTGCACTAAGTGCTAAATATATTACCAACCGAAGGCCAATATCATTTCATCAGATATTAAATTTATCTATATATATGTACCCTTTATTGAGGAACAATTTGAGAGACTAATGAGATTTCTTTTACAATAATCTATTTTTCTTTTAAACATTAAAATAGTCCTAAGTGTGGTAATTCAGTTTCCCTAATAAAAAATATAAATGCATTACCTACTGCTAGGGACTGGCAGAGATAAATTTTTAACATCAGAAGAACTGAAAGAAAGACATTATTGAATCAATAATCTGCTACGGCTTGATTTTTTTAAAATATTATGTGACAATTGTAAACGAGAATACTATAAAGGTGCCTTAACATAGCATTACACGGGCAAGTAACAAGTTTCGTTGCTCCGACTTTGCATTTAATTCCATATTATTACAGTTTCCTTATCACAATGAATGAAATTCAAATAATTAAATAACGCGCCAAATATAACCAATTATCGTTACATTGTAATACAACATTATGGTAGTGTATAGAACGACTTATCGAAATTACTCATAAAGTAACAACCATGAAATATAGGTACGTTAAATACGAATAATTTGAAAACATAGCTTTCATTTTAGCATCATTTTAGATTTTTATTTTTAAATATCTATCACGACGCAATAGGTATCAAACCAACAACTTTTAAATAAGTCGCAACAAACTGTACCAATAAATTATTGATAAATTATCATTTAGATTAAATATGTGCCATAATTATAACACTAGCTATAAACTATAAAAAAGGGAATAAAATTATATCTGTTATATGAGAGCCCCACTTCCAAAAAAATATGATTTCCTTTATTTGTTGTTATAGCTTCAACGGAAATAAAGCATCGGTGAAAATTTC